TATGTATGTATGTATGTATGTATATATGTATGTATGTATACATATATATGTGTGTGTGGGTATATATATATATATATATATGTCTGTGTGTGTGTGCGTGTGTGTACATGCATGTATGTATATGTATATATATACATATATATCTATGTGTGTTTGTGTGTGTGTTTATCTATTTATTGAAATTATATATATATATATGTGTGTGTGTGTGTGTGTGTGTGTGTGTGATATATATATATATATATATATATATAATATACTTTTTCATGCGTTTTGAGCCCTATATTACAGAATTTTTCTATTTACATAAGTATGCCAATGTATGTGTACCTACCTACATCCACAGCTGTCCATAGAGTGCCTGGTAATCTAAGCAATGCAGACTGCATGCGGTATATATATATTCCTAAATGTCTTCAATGTCATGTGTAACTACGCAGATGTACCCATTTATGTTGCATAGGAACCTACAATTACTCATTTTTTGTATATGTATACCTACATATTCTCATATGTTACACATATATACCTACAAATTCTCGTGTGTTACACATACATACCTACATATTCTCATGTCTTACACATACATACCTACGTATTCTCATGTGTTCCCCACATTTACCTACCACTGCTCATATACCTACACTATATCCACAGCCACGCGGCGGGTGCCGGATGATCTGAGAGTTGAGGATTTCATGTGCGTGTCAAATGACATCACTTTGGATGCGCTGAGTGACCGCATGTCTAAGCTCAACTACTACAAGAGTGGCTTTGGCTTCATCTACGAAGTGGAGACCTTTGATCTAATAGCCACCAATAAGAACAACACCCCCATTGTCAATGGATCGTAAGTATGCATATATATATCTATATATACGTATATCTGTCTGTCTGTCTGTCTGTCTGTCTGTCTGTGGGTGAGTGAATGGGTGTGGGTGGATGTATAAACTCCATTTTTGTGACAAAAACACCCCCCGTTTAGAACACGGATATGCTGTCGATATGCGTGCTGACCTTCAAATATTCGTCCCCTCGTACTTCTGACACGTGTCGCCATTTGACACGTGTCAGTAGATGGTCTGTGTCTGGTATCTTCTCTTCCTTCACTATCAGTACATAGCCACCACTTGACACATCTTCCCTACCTACCCATTCCTACCACTTGACACATCTTTCCTACCCATACCCTTTCCCTTGCCCCCCTCTCTTCCCAATCCTTTCCCATTCTGTTCACATTCTCACTCTGTTCCTCCGTTCACCTTCTCACTCGTTTCCCTTTGTGCGTCTTCTCACCCATCTCCCTTTGTACGTCTTCTCACCCGTAGGGATCGTATCATGATCAACGATACCAACAGCACAGACCTCAATGATGTGGGGCAGTTTATTATCCAGATGAGCACCTACAACCCACAGGCACTGGTAGGCTATCTGGACGCAGCCACGCCCATCCCCTTCTACTACTCAGGCTACATCATCACCATCGCCTACTACACGGCACCAGGCATAGAGTGGGGAATCGTGGTATGTGGGTGTGTGTGTGTGTATTCAAGCATGTATGTGTATGTATTTATGTGTGTGTGTGTGTGTATGTATGTATGTATGTATGTATGTATGTGTGTATGTGTGTATGTATGCATGCATTAAGTATGTGTATGTGTATGTGTACCGAGGAGCTGTCATTAGATACACACATGTGTGTGTGTGTGTGTGTGTGTATGTGTGTGTTATAACCCCCTTGTATATACTACATAGACCACAATATCATCTAAGCCTACGGCTGTATGTATACATACTTTTATATTCGTACATACAAACATACATATATACTTATGTCTTCCTTACCTCCTTGTCAGGCACTGGCAATGAAAGAGTTCTATTTAGAGTTTTATATAAGAGTTCTACATATAGTTCTATATGAGTTCTATTCATATAAGAGTTCTACTTGGGATTTTTATATGTATACGTACTTTTATATTCATAAATACATATATATATATATATATAGTTAAAGGTTTGGCAGGTGCACATTGTCAGTCGTGTTTGCGATAATTTACGATACAACCTTGGTTCGAGATTACCAGCTTTTGTTATTGCATCGTCGCATATGCGCCAACAGCCGTTAACAAACATACACACACCCGTATGCATCTCATGAATCCACGATTTGGTGGGATGTCACAAACTCTCCCGCTCACTAATATACGACATTGGTTGGATGTCGGAAACTCTCGCACACTAATTTACGACAATGTTTGGGATGTCGGAAATTCTAACCCGCCCGGACACCACGCCTCCGCTCTTACACAGACGGCCATCCCAATGGAAGATTTCACGGAGTCATTTCTGAGTACTCTACTCGTCACCGGAGTGGTCATCGCATTTGTTCTGGCCCTGACGCTAGTCATATGCTTGTCAGGTATGTGCTTGTAGTATATATATATAAATGTCGCATATTGTGTCGCAAAGTACCAACATGTCGTTTTTATGAGTGGGTTTTCCGTCACTGAAGGCTCAGACGTTAACGGCTGAGTGGACTGAGGTGTGCTGTGAATAGTCTCGAACGAAAGCAACCCACTATACACTCGACTCAAACCCTAAAACCACTAATTCTACTAGCCTACTCTTTATACCTACCTACTTTGAATAGGCATACCTACCTCTTATATACTTATCTACTTCTACCATACTAACCTGCTATATATACTTGCCGACTATTTATACTTACCTACTTCTAATATACATACCTACTATTTGTACTTACCTACTTCTAATGTACTTCCTTACTATCTATGCTTACCTACTATTTATACTTGCCTACTCATAATATTCTTACCTACTATTTATACTTATCTACTTATAATATACTTACCTACTTCTAATGTACTTACCTACCACTTGTTGTGGCCCTCACAGTCAACCACAGTATCTCGGGTCAACTGGCACGCATCACCAAACAACTGAGCGAATTCGCACGACTCGACTTCACATCACGCGTGTCACAGAGTGGACTAAGACACCCCGTCAGGGAGATTGCTCGAGTGTACCAGGCATGGCATATATGTTTACATATATGTATATGTATATGTATATGTATAT